ACACATTGCACTCATATTACTCACCGGTCCCGCATGCTGGCTCTTACAGAACCGACTAACTCCCCTTTCGTGTATGTACAGCTCTCAACATGCCCAGACTTGTAGTGATGTTCACCTCGTTTTATACTTTTCGCCTCATTCTGAAAGAAACAGGTGAAATTTGCTAACGTGACGGCCGTCTTTGTGATGGTGACGCGTATTGTGCGAGACCAGAGATCTGTAGTTCACTGAGCGGTTTCACACAAAAAAAATTGTAACTTCACAGTTTTACGACACATTTTTATTTTTTTTACTTGCAAAATGTTCTTTTAAATTGACAAACATCATATGTGTCATTCGTGGCACAATTCAAACGGGATCAAAAGATAACCTTTCTCTCTCCATTGACTTCAATGTATAATTTTCCGCTTCCGGGGTCCCATGGAGGCTCCCGGAAGGGGAGGGACTTCGCCTCTCTATAGCATCATATGAGCAATTGTTTACCATCGGAAGAAGGCATTTGTCAATAAAAAAGTAATCAATGCGTGAGTACGATTGGTGAACAGGGAGAAAAAAAGAGTACTGCCTAGCTGACGGGAAGAGGAAGCGCCACGCATCTACGGCTCCCGGAGTTTCTAAATGTGACTGCAGAACCAATGCACATTTTGTTAACTGCACGGGCCGTGCTGAAGAGCGGTCTAACTTTGGGTTTAGAACACAATTCATGTCTCCCCCCTTAATCAATTGGTGACCCTCAGCAACAGGCACATTTAAGAATAGCTCATTAAAAAACATATAATCATCACAGTTCGGTGCGTAAACATTAATAAGAGTTAAGGGTGTGTTATACAGTGAGCCAGATACCATAACATATCGACCATTGCGGTCTTCAGTGATCTGAGATACAACAAAGGGTACGGATTTGTGAATAAGTATCGCAGTGCCTCTAGCTATACCATTGAATTTGGAGTGATACACCTCACCCACCCAGAGTTTTAAGTTTTGAATGGTTTGAAATCTTTAAATGTGTTTCCTGGAGAAATGCAATATTTACCTTGAGGTTCTGAAGATGGGCGAGGACTTTCTTACGCTTTACAGGTTGATTAAGGCCCTTACAGTTCCAGCTGATAAAGTTGACCTGGCACCCCAGGACGGGCAGATGGAGTCGTCATTGAAGATTTCTTACTGAAAGAATGGAGAGCTGAAGTGCAAGCTGGTCATAGATTAAGGTGCTAAAATATTGCCGTACTCTGGAGCATTCATAACAGAAACCATAAGACAAAAACAAAAACAGACTATAACACACACAAAAAAGAAAACATTTATCACACATTGTTCTCCCCATTTCCCCTATACAAACAGTGTATTTCCCAAAGCTTAACAAGCTTTACTCTAACCGCCATTACCTAAATATCTAACCACTTTCGGTCCTTACAGAATTTGCTTATACAGGTATTTTGCTCAAAGCTAAACCCTCTCACAAACGTTTTGCTTATATGCTATCTGTATGATCTTGTGAGCACCTGTTACTATGAGAAGTGAGAAAAGATGCCTTAAACATGAACAGATACATTCATTTAGTAGTTACTGAAGTTAAACTCGAACTGAAGCAACCGGTGAACAAGACAGACCAAACCTGCAGGAGGAGATCTCAGTGAAAGAGTCTCAAAAGTTCCCGTGAATGAAAAGTCTGTTTAAAAAGAAAGAAAGACCCTTACATGAGGCATTTTCAAGATATAAGCAGCGTAATTCTCGAGATAAATCACTATAGGAAGATAGCACAAACAGTCAGTTATCCCGGCTCAAACAACGTCCCTGCAGAGAGCGTTTCCATTATTTTTTGCTGAGCCGCAAGATGGCGGGCCAGAACATAATCGAAGCCTAATTCAAGGAATTGATTTTGGTAAGAGGGTGCAGCGCCCCTGTTCCCCGGTTCCGAAAAAACTCTGATATCGCTGATAACGGCCCGTCTAGACTACAGGCGTCAAAAAATGTTTTCAACGCTTCGCCCATTCATTTGAATGGGGTGACGTAGGATATTTTCAAACTTCGCCGAACTGCATTGTGGGTAGCATGGCAAGGCGTTGTAAGCATCGCGAGCGTCTATCGGCGTCAAAAGTTGAACAATGTTCAACTTTTGAGGCTCGATGCTTGCTCGAAGCTGGCGTCAGCCAATCAAATCCCGTTTTTGCAATTCCCGCCAGTACAAGCGCTAGCCAATCAAACCGCGTGCAAGCTGGGAGAGCCAGACCGCAGTTCATTTCCTCATATTCCAAATGAGAAATTACGGTAGCAAATCACCCGGTTCTTTCCGACCAGAACTATTTACCGGGATACAAACCGGAGGAACCAGGCATGGAGGGAGGTGGCAGAGACAGTGGGTGAAACTGGTAGGTTTTCGCCTGTTTGGGGATTTTATATCCAGTTTACTTCGTTTTAACATTGCTATTGCTTTGTATGTCGGGGGCGGGAGATTCATGTGATTGGTTGTTGGTCGCGTTGTTCGCAAAAAATCGCCAAGCTTCAGACACGCCCAGCTTCAAGCTTTTTCGATGCCTGTAGTGTAGACGGGCCGTTACAGCCTCCCAATCAACACTCTGATGCGCAGTCAGATCCGCTGATTGGTTCACTGATGCCAAAGGGAGGCTCGTCCTCTCTAGCCCCATTTCAGTCCCAAAGCCAGGGCTATTATCTGTATTTTAACAGACTTATCTTTTAAATTGCGGTGTATTTATTGTTCTCTTCAAAGTTTATTTTTCTCTGAAATTGTAGGGAGGATGGTCCTCCCTTTCCTCAATGGACGAGCCTCCACTGAGTAAAGTAGAGTTATTAACTAGCAGTGTTATTTAACATACTTTTATTCTGATAAGTATTGTCAAGTTCTCTGGGTTTTTGGCATTTATTTGAGTGTTTGCCCACATTTGAGAGGCTTGAGGGACAACTGGAATCCTTTTTCCTTTTCTTTATTTCAACATTTCAAGGACACATTAGGATTCTTTCAGGTTGAAAACCTTTAAAAAATACCAAAGGACAAAATAAATAAATTACAGCAGTTTTGCTTTGCAATTTCATATATTATAACCTAAATTAATCAGTAACCAAGTATTTTACTCAAACTCAATGTATTTAATAGTTAAATAAGTACTTTAATTGACCTGATTCCCCCAACCACACATTTGCCATATGTGACCCGCTCTATCGAAATCAGTCGAGAGTCGCAACGGCTCATTTCAAAATAAACGTGGATTTGCGTAAAAAAATAGTTTTTCGGGGATCGGGTGTTTTGTTTGATTTTAAATAAACGAAGTCTTGGCTTTCAGAATATGACATTTTTATTTCCAAAATCACACGATAAATACATGTTTGAAGCTTGTAAAGGGAAGATGACAGCTCTCCTTCGCCACTCTGCTCTTCCACAGCGCAGCTTCCCCTCCCTCCGCTGACATTATGAATGTAAGCGGATATGTCGGGACAGAATTTATTTTACCGGACAAATTTGAAACTTACCTGTCATGTTTCAATAATAATAATAAGAATTGTGTAGCAGAGTTTCCATTAGCAGGTAATCACCGGACTAGGACAAGATATGCTGATGTTTAAAACTCAGTTAATGGGGCTCATTTTTATATTGCTTCAGTTTATAATCGTTACAGATCAAAAAATTCAGATTCATTTTTCTATAAATGATTCCACAAACAACAAACAACATAATTATTACATTCAAACAAACTACTTGTAGTAGATGAAATATATTATTCAAAAGTTTACATTAACTTTGAATAATAACACGGGAGAAACGGATGCTCTCTTTTCCCCTCTCCCTCCTGACAGCCCGTCAGTTTCTCATGCAGCTCGCTAAACAGTGGGCGGGGCTTCAGGTGATTATGCAGAGCTGCGTGTCTCTGTCAGACTCAGCAGCTGATCTGATCTCTCTCTCGGGTCCGGTTACACTTCACTCGCGTTTATGTCCATATCGATCAGATCCAGCTCTCCTGATCGGCCTTTATAGAGAGCACCGATCAAACTATTAAGAGTGAATATTGGCCGATAATGACCGGCGGCCGATCGATCGGCGGCTAACGGAAACCCTGATGTGCACTGTCGGTCCTCTGTTGTAAAAAATAAATAAAAAATCGAAATAATATTTTATTTTTGATTCTCAAAATTACGGGACAAATATTATTGCTGGCGGGCCAACAATGGCCCGCGGGCCGCCTGTTGCCGACCCATGACCTACGGCCTCAGCCACCCGGAGCATTCCGATTCCGATATCCAGTCCGTGGTAAACGACTCCTTGATTTAACAGACGACCCCGTTTGGAACAAACAGCACAAATGTTCGCATATTTTCGGCTGTAGGCTTTATCTTCGTAGTGTAGTATTCCATCGCGGATTGGGGAGAGTCGAAAATCCTCGTCTCACTGCCGAAAGTGATCCGCAGTCGTGCCGGGTAAAGGAGCGCATACCTGACGTATGCCTTGCGAAGCACAGCCTTCACCTCATTATACAACCCAGTCTCATGGCATTTCGTGTTCACCAACACGATTTTTTATCTATTGATTCGTGTTCACCAACACGATTTTCCCCTTTTTTTCGTGTTGGACAGCACGATTTTAAAAACAATGTATTTCTACTGGTAATGACGCTCATGGAAGCACGGCATTCGTTTGTGTCGGCTGCCCTTAAAGGCAATGTGAAAAATATCCATTCTCATTGGATAACGGAAAATTGTACACCCGGAAGTATGTATTCCCCTTACTGTCGATTGATTTTACAGTGATATCTGCACTACTCATCGACTAAAAAACACCAGATTATCCTTGTTAATTACAAAACATTGATTGGTTTAAATTGTGTGCAATGCTTTTGTATTTTTCCCCTTCGATTCGGAGAAACAAATATTTTTTCGGAGTAAAGGATGGCAGAAGACACTACACTAACCAGAATCCCCAGCTATCGTTTGGACTACACCATGTGCTCTGTTTGACAAACCCCGTTTTTTTTCACCATTCATTCCAATAGATAGTCGGCAAGCGAGGGAACGCCCACAAAATGTCACATCCGGTTTGCGCTGAGGGGGAAAACAAACCGGCTTCCACAATGCCCAGAAGCTGCTGTGTGCCCTTTTGTACAACTAACAAGCTTAAAAATCCAAATCTAACATTTTATATTTTGCCCAATGGGAGCCCAGAGCCCAGGAGAAGAACCCGGTGGCTTCAAGCGATCCGTCGGGAGTTTGGCCACCTGTGGGATCCAAAATCCAAACATGTACGTCTGTAGTCAGCACTTCATTACAGGTATGACAACGTTATTCACACAATAACAGTGTTAAATAGTTTCGTAGTTAACTTGAATGTTCAATTACTAGTTTTAAGAGAAGTTAACTAACTACTACGTTATGCAGGCTACCTTGCTTGAGTATACAAAAACACAGCTATGCTAACAACACTGGTGGTAGCTTCAGAGCTTTCTGCAGTTAAAATGTATTTCACCCCCTGTAAGAGAATATTTTAATCTGATCTGTTTATAGAATCTCTTATTATTCCTTAGAGTCTGTGATACTGCAAACATCTGCTTGTAGTCACTCAAAGACTCCTCTGTAGGTTGAGGTCACAGGTCAAACGCTTCTCCTATATCCATGGGGGGTTTGAGACCTGGCAGGATCTCTTTGAGACAAGCAGACCATTGTCTCGCATCGGCTATTGATTATACGCGGGCTTTCTGGAAGCCCGCCTCTCCTCGTGTTGGTTAGATGTTTTGTGTCTTTTGGTTCAGAGATCGCTGGTGGAGCACTGGACATGTGTGAAACTAAGATGATCTCCCGGCCGTTATTGTCTGTACTTTCTCCAATAAAACTCTTCAGTGCTTTTGGCTAACAACGGTTCCAGACTCCTTCATTCTACCTCAACATTGCAACAACAGAAGTTTACCTTCACATTTTGGCGTCTATCGAACAGGATACCGAGATTTCTTCAGAAGGCTGGTAAGTGCTTTTTTTCAAATCTATTTGAACAACTGCCTTACCAGACTCTGTGATTGACGGTATCAAAATTATCTGTGAAACTGCGCGAGTGCAATTTGTTTTGGTCTCTCCACCATTTGAAGGCTTAATTATAACCTGAGGAATCGGTGTCTAGGGGATTTCTATCCTGGCCGGTCCTTCCTGTGAATGCTGCTGGGGCATGTGCCAACAAAAGCAAGCACAGCTCATGTATAAAACAATAAGAATATTTGGGGCTAATAAATAACCTCGGAACATCGACTTTTAACGATTTCCGCTGTGTGTGGTTTCTAGAATTAAATTACTGGACAATCACACACTGCAAATATTCGGAGAGACCTTAAGGAAAGCATCAGCAAGGTGGAACCTCTGTTTAAAAAAAAAAAGAAGCAATGTGAGGATTTGTAATTGAAACAAATTGCCGAATTCTTGAGATTTCCATGGGTTTAAATCAGACCAATCCGTTTTCGGGTGTCTGCTCAGGCCTGCAGGAGGGAGGGCGAATTCCCTTCCCCCCTGTGGTGAGCGGCACACGAGTAATGTTTAAGAACACAGACTTGTATTTTCTGTTAATCACACCATAAGCTCAAGAACTAAATTGAGCTATTAAATGGGAAGGGTCGTGGCAGAATATTACGTTCACACTGTGTTTAATAAACTAACGGATTATTGAATTGGCTGTTGTTTAAAAAAAAAAAAAAAAAAAAAAAAAAGCACTGAATTAATTAAAACAATCGCTGCTCTCGGTCGGTTGAGCAGTTTTACCACTACATTTGCATAGTGGTTTTGATTGAGAATAAGGTAGTTTATTGCTCATCAACAGATTGAATATGGCTGAGAAGAGCCCATATTAAACAGATATTTCAGTGCTCCCGTTGACGTTTTCCGTAATTCTCGAACTAAATTAAACTGGATGATTTTTTGGCCAGGGCACTGATTTTGTTGCGAGTACATGTTTGTTTGTCTAATTGCAGTGTTTGTTTTATTGTACTAACCGTTAAACATGGGTAATACTGCCTCCACAAACGATTCAGTTGGTAAGAGGAAAACCATTTCACGCACAAAGACACTTAAAAAAAACCCGATTGCAGAAAACCACTACACGCATTTGTTTTCTCCAAACATGCCGTCTGGAATTGTCGGAAGAACTTTGGATTGGTCTAAAGTTATGCCGTTTACATCGTTACTTTGCGAACACTCACAACAGATTAATCAGAAAGGATTGATTCGATTTGATTGGCCTCTGACAGGTAGTTTTGATATGGCCGTGTTGTGGCAAGCATTTAAACTGGTGGAAGATAATTCAAATTGTTCATGGGATCAAGGATACATGACAGAATGTGTGAAAGCCTGGATGACTTTGGCAGAAAAGCGGGGTTATGAAGAAAGGAAAAATGCAAAATCTGTTGGCAGCGAGCGAGGCTCCATTGAGCTCAAGGCGCTTATTGATAAAGTTGCTCAATGTGCAAAAAGTTTTCATTTGCTTAGCCTAGAGGCTGCTTTTGATGTAAGATCAGAAAACATGTCCAGATTCAGGGAAAGACACGGTGAGAATGTTCCAGACATTGCAAAATCCATAATTTATGATTGGATTAAAAGACAAGGTAAAACTCCAACCCCATCTCAGCTCATTTGTATTTTGACAGACGCAGGGCTGTTGGACGGAGAGCAGGCTGTATCTCTCTGTACGAAAATAATTACGACACTCTGACGTGACTCTGTACGACAGAACTCTCAAATCCCGTTGCGAGAAACTCCGATGATGATCTGTTAATAACAGCTGCAGCTATCATGAATGAAAATAAATTGAGATATCAGATAGGACAACATGGAGAATTAGAATCGGCACACGCCGAGCAGAGCACAGCAGCGGGGGAGGGGAATGTTTCACATGGCAGTCCGCGATTGACCCCCACTCCTCGCACTCAGCCACTCATTTTACAAGATTACCCAGGTTCGCCGTACGGCAGCAGTTTTTCAAATAATGTCCAGCGTAAAATGTACACGACAAAGCAAACATCTCAGGATAATAATTCTGAAGAAAGTGTGACCGCCCCGAAAATTCTGATAGGAGATGTTCCAGTTTGCAAACCCTGGACACCCGCTGAGGTCATTGATGTCACTAACCACGCTCCCAGTCCCACTAAAAGTCCAGATGAGTATCTGTCATGGTTGACTAATATTTGTTCAGTTTATAACTGTTTGGTTCATGATGTTAAACAGCTGATAATCTTAACATACAAGGCAGATTGGCCCACGTGCAGAGACGAGTTTACATTTCCTGAGTGTACAGCCGCAGGGGACTGGCCCACGACACAGACGCGAGACACGTGGATACAAAACGTCGCCGCATTGGCTATCAGAGCATGCGCTAAAACTCACACAGATTTCTCACAAGTGACGGCATGTGTACAAGACCCAGCGGAAAATGTCCCAGAATTTATCCAGCGTTTCATGACAGTGTGGGATAATAATGCGGGAATTAAAAGAGACGGTAATGATTTGTTTGCCATACAGACCTTGTTACATAATTTAATCCCAGAAACGGCTCAGGCCTACATGATGTCGACTCCCGAATGGCAAATTAAATCTTGGAAAGCGACTATCGCCACAATGCGTGCGTTGCATAGGAGCCAAATATTTCTTACTCCCAGAATTTCACAACTGCTTCAACAATTGCCTCAAAACACCCAGGCTTATCAAACGCAGGGACAAAACCACACACAGCAGTATCAAAATCAGGGGAGATCACAGGATTATCATAATAAGAGCAGACAGCAGCAGAACAAAAATCCCAAAAAGTTGATGCCATGTCATGTTTGCGGAGAAACCGATCACTGGGCAGGACAATGTGGTAGGCGGTGGGGGGTCCAGCAGCACACACAGCCCCCCCCTCACCCAGCCCCCCTTCTCCCAGCCCGCACTTCCCCCCAACCTTCCCCAGTAGTCCAGACATCTGGCATTAATGCAGTCTCCACGTTATGACAGACAGAACCAGGAGCAGAACGCTCAACAAAGTGGATTTAATAGAAGATAGTGGTGCCAAGAAGATATAGGGTCAGAATCACAGCATTTACCCATTCAAGCAACAACAATTCGCCTTTCCAATAACCCGCGTGAAGATCCAATTATGCCCGTTGATTTTAGTGGTACGGCCGTAGATATTTTGATTGACAGCGGAGCCACCTTGTCTGCCGTGCGTACTAAAGAGAAAGTGTGTGAAGCAACCAATACATTTGTCACAACCATCGGTGTTGCTGGAATTTCTATGTCCGAACCCATTTCAGAGAACACTAATGTTTCAATTAATGGATCAAACGTGGAACACTCTTTCATTATTTCAGATGGAAGTCCTATTAATTTAATGGGCAGGGACTTACTATGTAAATTACAGGCAACAATACATTGCACTTCAGACGGATTGTTTTTGACAATTCCTGACAGTAAGGTCTATCAGGCTGTCCAATTCATTCAATCATCGCGAGACAACCTGTATTGTTGGTCATTTCCAGATTTCAATATGATTTCTGTTTTCTCCACAACAGGGATTCAGAAGATTGCTAGCATTTCTCCGGTTTGTGCGTCTTTAATGTCTCTTATGCGACCTGTGTTGAATTGTCATTGCACAGCAGCCTTTAATCCGTCAGATGACTACGCGCAATCAGTAAGAGGTTTTTGCAACAAATCAGATCGGTTGACAAGTGAACAATATTTGTTCATTTCCCGACAAGGATGTGTTTTACCCATCAGACTCACAACACCCCAGCAGGTTCTCCAAGTTGAAGAAAGCCTCCCCTACATAACGGTGGCTGTTACACCAGGCAGTAACCCAAAAGAGGTGGGGGCCATGGCAGCCCGCTGCCAAGCCCAGCTGGAAGCCTCATTTTCCCCTTTTCCACACACACACACACACACACACACACACACACACACACACACCTAACGTAATTAACTTTGGAGGGGAGCATTTCCTGCTGCGTCTCGCGGAGCCAATTGCTCTTCCACAATGCACTTTCCTTCATTTACAACCAAACCCCCCCCACAGAGTATGGCCCCCCCTCAGATTTTTCAGAAGTACCGGCTGCATTATGGGCAAAACACAAGAACCATGTTGGTTTTGTTGCCTCAGCGCCTCCACATCGAGTAACACTTAAAGCCAATGCCAGATTGCCAGCTATCAGACAGTACAATTTGCCCCATAGAGCCATTTTGGGGATTGAAGGAGTCATCCAATCTTTGCTTGATCAGGGCGTGTTAATTTACACGACTAGTCCCTGTAATACTCCAATTCTACCC